CCTGCTTGGGAAGTTTTCTGCCATCACTTCTGCAAACAGTTTTTTTTATATCATCTGCACTCTCTCCTGTTTCTTCATTGACTCCAATAAGTCTTATGTTATTCTTCTTTGCATTGTTTAGCAGCTGCTGGATTGATTTCTCATGGTCCCTTACAATTTTAAAGCAATTTTTCTTTTCCTGGTCACTAATTGCAATCTTCTTTTTTTTTTCTTTTTTTGGGTGCCAGAGATCGAACTTGGGTCCTTGCACTTGTGCAATTTTATCTTCTATATCTGAAGTTCTGTCCTCGCATTGGTTCATTCTGCTACATAGACTTTCTTTTTTTTTTTGGTACCAGAGATTGAACTCAGGTCCTTGCACTTGCATAGCAGGCGACGAAACCACTGAGCTAAATCCCCGGGCCATGCTGCATAGACTTTCAATGGAGTTTTCAATCTCTTGGAAATCTGTATCTGTTTTATGGATTCCATTTGTTTCCTATGCTGTGATTCCATCATGTTCCTAAGCTCCTCTATTTTTTTTATCTGTGTCCTCTCTAGATTTAGTAATCATGTCTTGCACTATGGGCACAATCTCAGCTGTTACCTGAGAAATTATTTCTGATTTCATTTTTTCCAGATCCTCTTTTGTTGCCAGTTCAGGGAGCCCAGGTAGTTGAGTATCAGATTGTTCCATCTCATTTCCCTTTGGAGTTGCTGTAGGTGATCTGGAAGTCTGTTTGTTCTTTGTATTTTTTTGGTACCAGGGATTGAACTCAGGTCCTTGCACTTGTGCAGCAGGCAGCAAAACCACTGAGCTAAATGCCTGGCCCTGGAAATCTGTTTTTGAGGCTTGTTTACATGTCTTCTCATTTCCAGGGGGTGGGTGGGGGGTGCTGTTGGCACCCATGCGGCTCACCTCCTCTGCCCTGGGAGTGGTGGAATGGCGGCGGGGAGCCTCCTCCTGGGCTGGATATTGCTATTCTTGCAGACATTTGCAAATACGTCCAAGTAGAAAGCCAGCTCACCTAAATCTCTTCTGTTTAAGGCTGAGTACATCCACTATCATCACGACATTCACAGTGGCACAGTACAAAATGACAACAGTCCCTTTTAAAGATATCAGTTGGTTTGTGTGTGTGTGTGTGTGTGTGTCTGCGTGTGATACCAGGGATTGAACTTAGGACCTTGGGCTTGCAAGGCAGGCGCGGCACCACTGAGCTAAATCCCCAGCCCCCCAGGTTTTATTTTTAAATCTAGAATGAGGCAACACTGTGTTCCCTAACACCAAATAAGTGTGGCAAGGGCTGAGCAGAAGAGGCTGCTTTCATAGACAGAAACATGCTGAAAAAGGTAGAAACAGCAAAAAGTGATTGGTCATTTCCAGGCTACTTTCCATGTAAGGTGGGAATAAGCACACATACAAAAGAAAAATAATTTACTGACAAACTTTAGGTTATTACTTGTAAAGATAAATGGACCAAGAATTACGGGATTAAAGCAGAGGATTTCATCTGTACACTAACTGGCCTGTTTGGGAAATTCGGCTGTTACTCTCACTCCTGATTTCTTGAATGGTCAGACAACAATTCAGGGTCTATTTGGTGACCTGAAGCTTTAGCATGAGTGACTTCATTTTGATCAGTAATCTGGCCTGTTGAGCCCCTGTACAGAAGCCTAGTCTAAAACAACTGCTTCCTAAACCCAGGCATAGTGGAACATACTTGTAATCCCAGAAATTGGGTGGTTGAGGCAGGAGGATTGCCTTGAGTTTGAGGCCACCCTGGGCTACAAAGTGAAACCTTGTCTCAGAAAAAAAAAAAGGATTCATGTACACCAACTGATGTGGAGCCTGAGTGGACCCAGATTTGATTTTTTGTTGTTTGGGGGGTTTTATTGTTTTTTGTTTTTTGTTTTTTTGAGACACTGTATAGTTTAGGTCAGCCTTGAACTCACTATGGAGCCCAGGCTGGCCTCAAACTCTCAGCAATGCTCTTGCCTCAACCTCCTGAGTCCTGGGATTACAGATGTGCACTACCATGCCTGGCCAGATTTGAACAAAGTAACGGTTAATCCCTTTTTTCTCCCTTTATAGATCATTTTTAATGCAACAATCAAGGAAACTTGACTATTGATTTGACCTGTGATGACATTAAGGAACTTTCGTTAATATTCCCAAGTATAATGACAGTAAGAAAAAAATATAAGATACATAGTAAAAGCCAGATATGGTGGCATACGCCTATAGCCCTAGCAATTGGGAGGATGAGGCCGGAAGATTGCTTGAGCCTAGTTCAAGATCAGCCTCTGCAATGAAGGGAGACCCCCACCTCAAAAAAAAAAATATATATATATGCTGAAAGTAATTATGCTATAGAATGTGCTTAAAACCAGTACGGAGGAGCGTGGTGGAGGGATAGTTAATACTTGCTGAACCTGGGAAAGGCGCACACATGGAACATGGAGCTCACGGTAATATTCCCTCCACCTTCCTACATGTTTAATGATCTCAGACCAAATAACTCCCTGTTGAAAACTCAAGCAAATCTTCCTCTTGTGACCACTAGAATTAAAAATCTTAGTGGTGCCACTGCCTGCCTCGAAAGCACAAGATCCTGAGTTCAATCCCTGGTACCAAAAAAAAAATCTTTACTTGGGCCTATAATTCCCCATCCAGTCCGAACCTGGTGCACTTTTCTGTCCCTGTTTGCCTTCCCCTGTCCCTCAGGCCTTGTCCACATCTACAAGCTTTTCCTGGACCTTCAGTGGGTACTGACCTCTCTTTCAGGTTGAAGTTCAAATATCTTTTCTTCAGTGAGTCCTTCCCTGTCCATCTCATCTAAAATAAGTCACTCTACACAAGCACAAGGTCCCGAGTTCAATCCCTGGTACCAAAAAAGAAAAAGAAAAAAAAAAAAAAGTCACTGTATCCCCTCATATTAATATTTTATTTTATATTTTATTTGGGTAGTTATTTCACAACTCATGATATTGAAGGAAAGAAATAAGCAATGTATGTAAAATTATACTTTTTATATTTTATTTATTTTTATTTTTGGAGACAGGGCCTGGCTATGTAACCCAGGCTGGCCTTGAACTTATGGCGATCCTCCTGCCTCAGCCTCCCAAGTGCTGGAATTACAGGTATGTGCCACACTTGGCTTTATTTTTGTTTTTTGGGGTTTTTTTGGTACCGGGGATCGAACTTGGGACCTTGCATTTTCGGGGCAGGCGTCAGAACCACTGAGCTAAATCCCCAGCCCTTGTTTTTGTTTTTTGAGCCAGGGTCTCACTACATAGTTCAGGGTGGTCTTAAACTTTTTTTTTTCTGGTACCAAGGAACAAACTCAGACCTTGCACTAGCCAGGCAGGCTGGTGCCACTGAGCTACATCACCAGCCCTGGCCTTAAACTCTTAATCCCCCTCAACCTCCCAAGTGTGAGTTTGCAGGTATGCACTACCACGCCCGACTGATTTACTTTCTTCATTGGAGTTTACTAAATAATCTAGTTTCAAGTCATTGGATTTACTAGACTGCCAACTCCACAAGGGCAGGGATTCTGTCTTATTACCTACTGTGTCCTCTGTGCCTAACAGTGTTTGGAATATTATTAAATATTAATTCATTTATTTAAGACAAGGTCTAGGTATTTAGTTTAGGCTGGGGTTTAACTCACTATGTAACACAGGCTGGCCTCGAACTTGCAGTGGTCCTCTTGCCTCAGCCTCCTGAGTGCTAGAATTACAGGTGTGTGCCACCATTTATTAAATGGAAGAAGAGGTACACGAAGAGGAGCATGAACGCCAAAGCACCTGCTCTCACACTTAACCTGGACCCTCAGATCCAAAGCCACACTCAGTGCTTATACAAACTCTGCCCTCACTAGCATTTCTTAACTCTTTCCGGACTACTTACCCAGGCAGATGGTTTGAACATCAACATCCGGCCTGCCCACTAAAACTGTTTGACTTTCCTTGTCGTGGTGTTTCCAACAATTTGGGAGTATGGTTCTTATCTACTCATAATCAAGATCTAGAACCAAAAGACCAAACTTTTGCCACACCTGCCTTACAAGTGCTACATCCTGAGTTCGATCCCTGGTACTGAGTCAAAAAAAAAAAAAAGACCAAACTTCCAATTCTCAATCAATTCTGACCCCCTTACCCCATCCCAAGATACTCCCTAAGCTTTGCCAGGTAGTGTTTCCCCTTTGTCCAGTGAGCAATAAACTTGGTTTTATCTTATCAATAGCTTTCGTTGTTTATATTTGGAGAGCTGGCTTTGTATATGTTCGTGTGTTACTGGGGATTGAATCCAGAGCCTTCACACTGAGCTACCACCCCCCAGCCCTTTTTATTTTCAGACAGGATCTTGATAAGTCACTTAAATTGTCTAAGCTGGGCTTAAACTTGCAATCCTCCTGCCTCAGCCTCCCACAGTGCTGGGATTATAGGCATGAGTCACCATGCCCAGCATTGAATGCCAGCTTGTTTTCATTACTTCTCAGTACTTTGGCTAAGATCAAGTGTGGAGTATCAGCTTTTGGCAGGAGGAATAAAATCCACAGTAAAGCAATTAAATAATGTTTTATCACTTGGGGATATTTAAAACACTCCCAATAACACTTCCATGACCAGATAAATCGGACCCTGCGACAAAAGAACAATCAATAATGATCTTGTTTTTATTTTAAATTTTGTTGGTTTTTTTTTCATGCCAGGGATTGAACTCAGGACCTTCCGCTTGCAAAGCAGGTGGTGGAACCCCAAAATTTTGTTATTTTGTTCCTCTGTGGGTTTTCTGCATTTAAAAAAATAAGGCAGGTTAGGGATGTAGCTCAGTGGCAGAGCACTTGTCTAGCATACTGGAGGCCTTGGACACCACCCTCAGCACCACAAAAACAAATTTGCATTCAAATGTTATTAATCTTGAGGGTTTGTTTTTTTTTTGGTATCTGGGATCAAACTCAGGACTTTGCACTTGTGAGGCAGGCCTGGTGCCACTGAGCTAAATCCCCAGCCCTCCCTGAAATTTTGTATCTGATGGCTATGCCTAACTCATTTTGCCCTGCTCATAGTACAGATACTGCAAAAAGGAACCAGGTATGTTGTTGGGATTTACAAAGGTCAACTAGGGAAAGGTGAAGAGTATGACCTGTGATTTGCTATATCTTTGTTATGGCATGAAGTCAAAAGACAACTAAAATAAACGAAGAAATAGCATTACGTATTTTACGTAGAAATTTTTTAGGAATAAGAACTAAAATTACAAAGTTGTGAAAAATGGCTGCCTCTAACGATAGGGAACTCCTGCTTGTATTACAAGTCCTCCTGAGATAGGACAGAAGAAATAAAAAGTAGGTAGAAAGGAGATATGGAAATCGAGATTTTAAAATTGTACTTAAAAACTGCCGCTTCAAGGCAAACTTTTCCTTGCTTCTAGAGGCCACCGTAGCTTGTAACCTCCACTTTCTTCCTTACAAAATACAATGTTAAATTCCTAAAGGTCCTTTTAGGATGGCACTAGACCTGGTTTCACCTTCAAATTGCCTTTCCCTCCAGCCCAGGAAGCAGCTCCATTGGCGACCGCCCATCTGAACAGTGTATTTCAGCACATCTGAATAGCGTTATCTCAACAGTGTTATCCCCACTTTAAACGCATATACATGGCTTGCAAGGTAACCTAACAGTGAAAATGCACTTCTTTGATAATTTATCTTGAAGACAACCCTTCAAATGTGCCCGACACCCGCTCTCCATTCCTTTAGTGAATACTGTATCTCTAAAAAAATCTCCCGTCTCTTATTGACGCATCCTGAAAACTGTTTTGCGCAACAAGTCAGCGAACCTGCAAACTTTTTTTTTTTTTGGTACCAGGGATCGAACTCGGGTTCTTGTGCTTGCAAGGCAAGCAACGGAACCACTGAGCTAAATCCCAGGCCCTGCAAACTTATTTTTAAAAGGTGAGATAAATTCTTTATTTCAGCCTCCAGGACCTCACAGACCCAACCTGGTGACACTCCTATACTAGGATTTTTTGGAATGTGTGAATTTACTGCTTTGATGACGACAACAGCACAAAAAAGCTCTGGATTCCAAAACTTCTAAGAACTGCCAGTTAAAAATTTTTTAAAAGTCTGGATTCCAAGACAGAAGGCTTAGAGAAGCACCGCCAGCTTCGTCTCATTATATCCACGCCATCCCACAAAGCCGGGAAACCTCTCCAATCCCACCCGCGACCCCATAGCCACGGCCCGCAGCCTATGCCTTTGGCAGCAAGGACGCCAGTATCTTAAACTAAATAATGGACACTATTCTATGCCACCTTTGTCCCAGTCCCCTTTTCTCCAATGTGGGGAGGAGGTTCTGGGAGATCCTATGACGTTTCCTACTAATTCCGCGAATCCCACTGCCTCCTCAGACCTCCGCCGTGGAATTCCAACCTCCCTCTCATTTCCGGGGAGGGTTAAACTCTCGGACCCGGAAGCCTCGGGGCAGGCGAGTCCCATAGCGCAGGCGCAGTCCCGCCTCAGCCTAGCTGTCCCGCCTCCTCCTCCCAATCCGCCAGCCAACCTGTTCTGGGCGTCGCTGCGGCCTCGGTTCCCTCTTTCCACCACGGATCACGTGGTGGAGGAGAGGTGACAGAAAGTACCCCTTCCCTACTGGGACAATTTCTTGACCTACCTGGTTTCCCAGGTGAGGGGCCACGTGGGTGCCTCTTCTGAACGGGGACAGGGGATTCGTCCGGCCGGCGGAAGGTCCTGGCGGGCACCTCCTCCCTTAGCCCGGGCAGCTGTCGGTCACGCGCCGAGGGACGGCGAAGGAGAAGGGGCGGGGCGGGACGGGGCGACGGGGCGGGGACTGCGCCGTCCTGGGACAGCATAGAGCCCGGCTCACGCTGAAACTGCGGACTCGCTGTGTCACCACTGTCGCCTCCGTCGCCACCGCAGACCCTAGCCGACACCATGAACCCAGACCTGCGTAGGGAGCGGGCCGCCGCCACGTTCGACCCGGAGCTGATCACATACCTTCTGGACTGCGGCCCTGAGAAGACCCGGCGCCGCCGAGAGATAGGTGAGGGCGGCGGTCCCTGTTTCCCTCCTCTCCCGAGCAAGGCTTGAGGTCCCCTCGATGAGGAGTTGGGGTCTCCGTGAGACATAAGGCTGCATTCTTTCTCCCAGCAGAGGAGCCAGGACCCCCACTTCGAGGGGCAGCCGGTGGCAGGGGTGGGTAGGGTGTCGCCCTCCGGAGAAGTGCCCTTGATTAAACCTGCTGTGATCCAGGGAGGGTGAATGTCTTCCTCTTAATATCCTTTAACTCCCTTTCAGAAAACATGATTCTCAACGACCCAGACTTCCAGCATGAGGATTATAACTTCCTCACTCGCAGCGAGCGTTACGAGGTGGCTGTCAAGAAGAGTGCTATCATGGTGAAGAAAATGAGGGAGTTTGGCATTGCAGACCCTGATGAAATCATGTGGTTTAAAAAGTAGGTATGCCTTAACACAACAAATACTCTAAGACCAGATTTTGCATCTGCAGTGTATGGATTCCTTTTGTCATCTTGCTTAGTGTTTGAAGGTCCAAACCGCCATATTTTCATGCCATTAGAAAGTTTGGCTTTTGTTTGTTTTGTTTTTGGCGTTTCGAGACAGTCTGTGTGTAATCTAGGCTGGCCTTGAACTCCTCCTGCTTAGCCTCCCAAGTGCTGGGATTACAACAAGTGCACCACTTTGAAGTTTTATGTGTGGAAAATAATGGGATTACTTTTGTATCTAAGCCTTTTAAGTGGGATGATGTATTTGTAGAGTACTGATTATGAATGGAGCTGCTGGAATAGTCATTCTCCAAAACTCAGTCTCAAGGATACTACTTAAGTTTGTTTGTTTGTTTTTGGTACCAGGGATCAAACTCGGGTCCTTGAGCTTGCGCAGCAAGCAGTGAAACCACTGAGCTAAATTCCCGGCCCTCAAGGATATTACTTAAAATAGTATTTTCCCCCAGCATCTCAATTTTAAATGCAAAATGAGTTTGCTTTTTGTAAAAAGGAGACCTGATAAATTTCTAATTTTGGAAGGAATTTTTTTCAATTGCAAGACCAAATATTTAATTGGGACAATAGATATACTTTCATGTAACTGTGGATCTTGAGTTTAAAATAATAAATAATGAGAATGGATAAAATAGAACATCAAATTTAACAAATATGAAGTATTCTAAGAGCCCAGCTTTGTGGAATGTAATGAGTGTTTATTTTCTTGGTTTTTTGGTACCGGAAGTGGAACTCAAGACCTTGAAGTTGCCAGGCAGGCACAGTGCCTCTGAGCTAAATCCCTGCCCCTGAATGTAATAACTGTTTAAATGTTTGTTTTAGGCATAAAAACCTGTCTTTGTTCTAATCCTGTGTCGTTTTTGCAGACTGCTTGTTTTTGTTGTACAGCTTTGGTTTTTAATTAGATAGAGAAACAGACTTTTTTCTTTTTTTTTCCTTAGTCTAAATAAGCATATTACTTTAAGATTTTTTTGGCCTGTAGTATCTCATACACTTTTTTTCTCTTTTATCACTTCTCATTTATTCCTGGACATTTCCTCTTTTGAGTTTCTACATTTAGAGGAACTCCAATATTTTCATCAGTACAGATGAAATTTGGGGCAGAGTTGTGTGGCTCAGTGTAAAGCGCTTGCCTAGCAAGCACAAGGCTGTGGGTTCATTCCCAAGTACTACAAAAAAGAAAAAGATTAAATTTCATAAACGGTATACTTTGAAGAATCAAGATAAAAGTTCTGCTTCTGTGTATTAATGGTTATACCTCCCATGCACTACTGCCTCTGCAATATCTGGCTGTCTGTTTTCAGCTTGACTTGGTTATTACTGTGAAGGTGAAATGGTTTACACTGACCTTAGAACTTTCCTCAGACCTCCATTCACTTCAGTTATAGAAAATAGCTACTTCTTTTTAGTGGCCCAAATCAGAGTACTCAGCAACTTCCAGTGTTCATTTTTGTCCCCTAAAGTTTACAACTATGAGTGGGGATATTGAGATAGAGTAAATCCTTTAAGGTTTTACCAAATGACCTGAGTTGGGTTTGTAAACTTGTAAAAATTAGTAAGATTTTATACCTTATTAAAATGAAGTCGAAGAAGAGAGAGGTTGGTGTTTTGGTTTTTTTAGCTGGGTGAGGCAGCTTATTTCCAGGTTAGTTTAGGCTATTTCATAACCTGTGGTAGCTCAGTGTGTAACAAGACTTGAGTGAAATCACAGTGAACTAGAACAGAGCCCGTTATATAAACTAAAGATCTGTGGCGGAGGATTTAGCTCAGCGCCATAGTCGCTGCATGGGAAGTGTGAAGTCCTGAGTTCTATCCCTGGTACCAGAAAAACAAGGCCTGATCTCTAAACATCCATGGACCTCAGCCACTTAGGGGTTTTCTGTTGTTGCTGTTGTTTGTTTGTTTTTGAGATAGCAGCTTGCTGTGTAGTACAGACTGGCCTTGAACTCACTTTGTAGCTCAGACAGGCCTCAAACTATTCTGCCTCCCTTCCCAAGTGCTGGAGTACTGGTATTATAGGTATGCGCTACCGGGTCCCACCAGTGAGTTGTTTTGTGTATCATTTTTCGCTTGAAATATTAAAGTACAAACTTTAATACACCCTTTGACACTCTTCCAATGCCCCTAGGATGTGACAGGGAGATCCATTAAATTAGAGAAGACTGAAAATTCATCTTCGCAAGTACTGCAAGCCATCAAATCAGCCTCCAGCATATAATCCCGTTGATATTATAAACTCATTGATTATAACTCATATCAATGTTTTATTTACCACTAAGAAAAAAGTATTAATTGTGAGATGAACTGGATTTCTTTTTGTTTGTTTTGTTTTTTGTTTTTTGTTTTTTGGTACCGGGATCGAGCTCGGGTCCTTACACTTACACAGCAGGCAGTGAAACCACTGAGCTAAATCCCCGGCTGAATTGGATTTCTTACTCAATTTTTTTTTTTTTTTTTTTTTTTTGGTACTAGGGATTGAGCTCAGGACCTTGTGCTTGTGAGGCAGGCAGCAGAACCACTGAGCTAAATCCCCGGCCCAAAATTGGATTTCTTAAATGTTAAAATGGAAAGGAGAATTGAAATACAGTAATATTTCTGAGGATTTGGAACATTTACTATTCTCTTTTACATTCATTTTGACTATAACAAAATAATACTTATAAGCCCATTTTGAAGTGAATTCAATATTATTAAGATACTTTTAAAGTTCTAAAATTGAATAGTGAAAGAACTCTTTCCAGGCCTTAAGGGAATAAGACCTTGCTTTTTAGGAAATAAAAAGTTTTCCTAAACTTTGTAGTAATTTTGTCCTTTAACTATACTGTTTGGTATGAAAACTGTAAAATGTTCTTATGAGTACTTTGAAATTCTAATAAGGATCACTCATGTTTTTTGTTACCTTTTTTTTAGGTTTTTAAAGTTGGTTCTTTGGGAGTAGGGGGTAGTTCAGTGGGTAGAGCACAAGGTTAGGATGCTTGAGGCCCTAGATTCAATCCCCATTACCACCAAATAAATAAATAAACAAAATATCCAGCCAGTAAAACAAGTAATATCAACAAAACAAGTTGCTTTAGATTGAGTACAGAATGTAAAGGTTTTTTTTTTTTTTTTGAGACAAGGCTTCACTAGTTAGTTCAGGGTGGCCTTGAACTTGTGTCAGTCCTCCTGCCTAAGCCTCCCAAATGCTGGGATCACAGGGGTGCACTACCACACCCAGCCTTTAGTGTAGAATTTTAAAAGGAATTCTGGAGTCTGGGGCATGGCTCAGTGGTAGAGCCTGTGACTAACGTGTGAGGCCCTGGGTTCAGTCTCCAGCACCAGAAAAAATAAAAAGAAATTCTGGCCTGAGAATGATTAGACAAAGAGGAGATACTACCAAGTCCTGCAGTTGGCTTTTAGGTAATAAATGTTGTTCATAAGAAAGGGATTTCAGTTTTTCTAACCTTCATCCTGAGTGCTATTTGGCAGCAATAGGTGATAGGATGCAGTTTCTAGAATAAGGCTGAGATCCTTTTCTTTTCTCTCCTGTAGACTACGTTTGGTCAATTTTGTGGAACCTGTGGGCCTCAATTACTCCATGTTTATTCCCACCTTGGTGAATCAGGGCACCACTGCTCAGCAAGAGAAATGGCTGCACCCATCCAAAGGACTTCAAATAATTGGCACCTACGCCCAGACGGAAATGGGCCACGGTTAGTCCACATTTGAGGGTCTGTGGGTAACCCACCTCAGGACTTCAGGCAAAAGTGACTCCTGCCATTTGATTTTTTTTTTCCTGCTGCTACATGTTTGGGATTTTATTTTTAAATTGTTACATCAAAATTGAGCTTCTTTTTTTCTTCTGGGTCATATCCCCATAAATTGGTCTAGGGCTGTGGCCTGTAAATGTCCTTCACTGTTAATTCTTTTTAATAGGTGCTGAGCAGTTTGGAGAGATGGGGTTAAAGGTGTCAGAGCACCCCATCCTGTTCTAATTATTAAAGACCTTGTTGGAAATTTTCAGAGGGTTAATACCTAGCAGTCTCTGGAAATGCCTCCCTGGTTTATTGAAGTTTAAAGGTGTAGATTTCAGTGGAGACAGTGGGATGGCAAATGAATGTCATACTCTTTCCAAATCCCATGTTTCTCTTCCTCTGACTCCAGTCTTTTCATACATTTTTTCCACACATTTGTGTACTCTATGTTGCCAGAAATTCTTGGTTAAATTATTCCAAAATGCCAGGGTGCTTTTCAGCAAGTTTTGCTTGTCTTAATGTGAAGTAGGTTGTTTTTTGTAGTTGTTGTTTTTTCCCCATAGACAAGGCCAGTGGCAGGTTTTCTTTGAATTTGAGCTTCTTGGCCTTATAGCTGTCAAAATGGGAGGAGTAAAGAAAAGAAAGGAAGGTTTGCAAGAATCAGGAAAACTTTGTTTTGGGTTTACTTGGGTACTTTCTGATTTATTAATTGGTTTAAGGAAATGTTCTTTGTTATAGTCTCCATAGGTACTGCAGATTCTGTTTATGGTCTTAACATTACAAACACCCGAGGCTTCAGTGTCAGGTTGCCAGTACTAAAATTACAAGCCTGGTTTCCTAGGGTAAGAAAGATAGCATTCTTTATACAGTCTTCCTCTCTTAGAATGTGTGTATATTGTGTGGATGAGGGGGAGTCCATGCATGCATGTGTGTTTTATAATCTTAAAATGGTTTTGTGGTACAGAACCCCTACTTTTAGTATTCATCATTGTAGAATTTATTTGACTAGTAACACAGCCTTCATAGGAGACATAAGATGTAAGATATCCTCAGGCTAATGGGTCTATTCCATATATTTCTTGTCATCTCATGTTTTCCCTGTCTTTATAAACTACATTGGAAATACATATTTGCCCTAAATTTCGAAGCAAGAGGGGAAGAAATGAAGATTTGTAATTTAGTTGGAGAATAGAAGTTGGACTG